AGATTTAACTCAAGGAGTTCCTCAAAAATTGTTGGCCTATCAGAATCAAGAAATGGGTACTCCTTCTCTTGCAAATCTTTTAGATTCATCTTCCCACTTGGTTTATCTTGAAAAGAAGTAAATTTTGTACCCTACTTCTTTCTCACCTACGTCGTGAACTTCACAGGTGATGTGTTGACATTCATAGCTTCTTTGTTTTCAGACTTGGGCACGAACTTACTCCATTTCCTGACTTCTTGCTTGTCGTTCCCTTTGCGAGGTCATAGATGGGCAGCCTTTCATTTCCAGCGGAGGCCATGCTCAATTCCATGTCATGGGCACGAGTTGCAAGTTCTTCAAATGTGCTAGGCTTGATACCTTGCAAGATGTAGCACGATCCCCAATGCATACATTGGATGCACATCTCTATGCCAGAAGCTTCACTAAGCCTGTCTTTGCAGTTGAGGCTTGCATTCCTCCAACGATTGATAAAGTCGATAAATGGTTCACCCTTCCGTTGATGAGTGTTTGTAAGTTCCACTATGCTCACAGTGCACCTTGTGCAATAAAAGTGATTGAAGAACTCTTGCTCTAGTTGTTCCCAGTTATCAATAGATCCTGCCTCGAGGCCTGTATACCAATCAAAAGCATTTCCTTTTAGCGAGCGGCAAACTCCTTGACGAGGTAATCTCCATAAGTCCCAGCATTGTTGTATGTCTCAACAAAGTGTGCCACGTGCTGCTTTGGATTGCCTTTTCCACCAAACTGTTGAAACTTTAGAGGTTGATAGCCAGTAGGCATCTTCAACATATTGATCCTTGTAGTATAAGGCTTTGCGTATGTAAGAGAGGACTAGGTATCAACTTCGTACTTGCTTTTAATAGTTCCTTCAATGAACTCCTTCAGTTGATCGATTGGAATCATTCCTTCAGATGAGATAAGGATAGCCTTAGCGGGTGCTATTTGTCTTAGGGGAGAATTACTCTTTGGAACCTCTGGGAGTTTGCCCCGTACATGGGTGGATTCTTCTTCCATCAAGATTCCTACCCTGTCTGTTAGCTTGACAATTCTAGCATCTTGATTTTGCATGCACTTGGTCAAGCCAGCGATTGTTTCCGTCAAGTTTGCCTACTGCTCCTCCACAGATGAAGTGTTTGTCACCATGGCTTGCATGATTGTCGTAGACGATGGAGAGTAGCATGGATTTTCACACAGATTGATCCTCGATTGGCTCGCTCTATGTGGTGTAAGTGGAGAGGATCCATCACCTAAAGCATCATCATCTTCCTGCACAGCAGAGTTCTTGGATCCGGAGAGGTTAGGCAGAGCAAGAGTTTTCTTAATCTTTTCAGCAACATTACTTCCTCATTCGGGTACGTTTGTGGAAGAGCTTGCTCCTTTTGAGGATGAAGATCCGAAAATAGGGGTTGGTGCAGACGGCACTTGGAGTGCTTGTTGTCCTAAAGAGCTTGCCTTTCTCCTTGTAGTCGGTCCAAAGCTTCCAAAGGTAACATTGAGGATACTTTCTACATCAGCGTAGAACCTGGAATTAGCAGCCTTGGTTGAAGTTGATCTGGGTTGATTTTCTTTGAATCCATTTCGATGTTCTTAAACTTAAGTTATTGAAAAGTTGAGATGATAGGTAGAGATTGACCCACTGGGCGTGCCAAAATTTGTGGACAATAAATTTGCGTCAAGAAACTAATCGAGATCAAAAATATCGCAACAATCGTAGTAGTTGATTTCAAATAAAATGAGTCTACAATCTCTATGAATCCTCTAATTCTTCTTTCCAATAGTAAATAAATTCAAGGGCTCTTGACCTTGATCTTGAATCTATATTTGTTGCCACGGATGATGATCTTGGATTCAATTACCACGAACTTTGATTTGAACTCGTACACCTTGAATCTTGATTTGTTCTTCGTTCTTGAGCTTGAACTTGATTTCTTGAACTTGAACTTGATTGCTTGAAGCTTGAAACTTGTAGAGAAATTTGTGGCGTTTGATCCACGAGCTCTCTCTTGCTTCTTATTATAACTTCTGGTGTATTTTCTGAGTTATGAAGACCTCTATGTATAGTTGTGGGAGGGAAGAGTTATAATAAGAAAAAAATCTTTTCGACCAATTAAACTGAAGTGTGACAGGGCCGCATTTGATTGGCCAGAACATGTCACTTGCATACGTGGAGCGATTTCATTGGCTTTTAATGTGACATGGCATGCCTTGTCATTTTGACATGTGGCATGAGCCCAATGGCTCTTCTGTTTGACTTGGTGTGCCACGCCATTTTTTGACACGTGGCACCAAATTGGGCCTCTAGGAAGATGACATGTTAGACTTAATGAAGTGGGCTCATCACTTTAGCCCAATTAAATGGCTAGTCCTATGGATTGAGACTTATTCATTTAATCCATATATATTGGATTATATAATTAATTCAATTATATTAGCCCATAATATTTATTTGGACCAATATATCTTGAATTTAAAATATAGTCCCAATTATTTTATGAATTTAATTCCAATAAAATTTAGATGCATACACTTTATCTTGGCACGTGCTTGACCAGTGGATTTCAACATGCATAGTATCCATTCTAGAAAATAACTCTAAGCATGTATGTTAAGATGGTAAGTACTTTTTCATGTATTAACATGTAATCTTTGTTAAACCTTCATTTGTATACTTCATCGTGGAATGGAAACAAAATGAAAACAGAAAAATTGAATTGGGCTAAGAGATGTTGGTTTTTCTTTGGCCAATAAAAAAATAGAGAAGGGGAGCCTAGATTGGAGCAACGGTAAAGTTGTCTCCGTGTGACCTATAGGTTATCGATTCGATCCGTGGAAGCAATTACTAATTAATGCTTGCATTAAAGGTAGTCTTTTTACATCACACCCCCTGGGGTGCGCTCCTTTCCCGGACCCTGCGTGAATATGAATGCTTTGTATACCAGATTGTCCTCTTAAATAGCCAAATAGACAGTTGTAGTTGCATGGGATTGTATTCCCTTTTGCCTCCCAATTCCACATGGTTTTATTCAGACACCTGAACCTACTCAAAACTAATGGAGTATTTTTTTTGAACACCTCCGATCATATATTGACTAATATTGCATTTATTTTGCTGAGTTGGATAATGTATGTGGTTACACTTTTTTACTGAGTTGACTAAATTTATATGGCATTTATTTTTCTGAGTTGGATAAAGCGTGTTAAAGTTGGATCTAAGCTCAAAGACGATCATGTTGCAGAAGTATAAACTCCAGTATTTGTAGTAGCTTTATCAAAAACCATAATTCCAATGAGAGAAAAATGAGAATCGCGATGAAGAATTTGAGTTTTTCTGAAGATTTCTAGATAAATCTATGACGAATCAGAGAGAGTCGCTTGGAAAAGAGCATTTGCTCCGATACCATATGAAAATTGTAGAGAGAGAAATATTGTAAAATGAAAAGAGCTTTTATTCTCCAAAAACTAATCCAATATCTGTAGAGTATCATATATATATATACATATATATATATATATATGTGTGTGTGTGTGAATACTCTAACTAATTTCCAGCTAAGCTAACCGTCTAAGTGTGTCATAAAAGAAAATTATATAAATATCTCTAACTAAGTCTTCATTATATTGGTGGAAGAATCTAGATGGGAATAATGCACGGTCGAGATATAACACACTTGTGAGTTCAGATTCGTCCTGATCATAACATGTGGCTTGATCCTGGTCACTCATAATTAGTGCACAAAAGAACCCAATCCTACGAGCAAAACCCCAATCTCATTTCCTTCGTATCATCTTCCCAAACTTAGCAATTACTAGATTTTCAAACCGGATCTTTGGGTGGGGCTTCTGCAACATGATCGTCTTTGAGCTCAGCCTAACTTCAACAGAGTGAATGTAATGACTTTAAATAATTATCTAATATCCATTAATATGCTCTAAAAGATCAAACAGACACATTGCTGATTTTAAAAAGATTCTATCAAGTCGATTCATTAAGGTATAATTTTTGAAGTTTTAGAAGTATTAGTGGGGATTCTTACGTAGCCTAATAAGCAAGAAGATTAATTATATTCAGTGAGGACCTTTGATTTGACCGTTATCAGTACAATGAATGCCCAAAGATTCACTAGTTAATTAACTTGGTGGTGCGAGAAAAATATTCTAAGTTTTATGTATTATCGATGTAAATATTATTTACACAATCATGTCACTTATTAAGTAATTACACTTAAATTTTATAATAAATATGGAGCAATTATTAATTTGATAATTAGAATGATAACTAATGTTCTAACACAAGTTACAACTCACTGATAATAGTAAAGGAAAATATATTTTAAGTGCATATAATTAAACAAACAATTAATTTTGTCTTATGATTTTCAAATGTCAAAGATTGGTCAATAGCAGCCAAAATAATCTTACTCCCTCCGTCTCATAATATGTGTCGTGATTCTCTTGTGCACACCTCTTAAGAAAGAATAGTTTTTGACTACGTTACCCTTATTAAATGTTTTTTCAATTTATATGTCATCTTTATCAATAACATTATCCATATTTTTACTAAATGTGAATGCAATTGATTATTAAGGGTAAAAAAGAAAAAATATAATTAATTTTATCTTGAACTTCTAAAATGACAAATAATTTGAGATTACTAAGGGAGTAGTACTATAGATAAGATATTCCAAAAACGGGAGGAAGGAAGAGAGGCAGAAAACTAAAAAGATACACAAGGTGCCACATCAGCAGAAACCCACACGAGTTGGACACACCTAAAGACTTGGAATTTACTTTTCTTTTCTTTGAAATCAATCCATTTGTCCCATAAAACAGCAGGGCTTAGGATATTTCTGAAAATATCCAGTCTGTCTCCTTACAACCCCTCAAATTAATTCCCGCGTTCTTTCGCCCGCGTCATCATATTTTTTAGCTTCAATGCTTCACTTATCATAGTTTACTTCCCCTACATATAGAAGCCCACCTTTCATATTGACCAGAAAGAAAAAACCTCTAACTGAACAAACATTCAACACTACTGGACTACTTTATAATCTCAGTATATATATATACACACTATCAGTGATCAAGAATATATGGATATGTTTCGAAGCTATTATTCGGACCCTCTTACTGAATCTTCATCACTGTCTGAAAATAGCAGCTCCTCATGTAATAGAGCTAATATTTCCGATGAGGAAGTTTTGTTAGCTTCGAATAACCCCAAGAAGCAAGCCGGGAGAAAGAAGTTTCGCGAGACACGTCATCCAACATACAGGGGAGTGAGGAAGAGGAATTCAGACAGATGGGTTGGTGAAATCAGACAACCAAATAAGAAATTAAGAATATGGCTTGGAACTTACCCCACTGCAGAAATGGCGGCTAGAGCTCATGACGTGGCGGCTATTGCATTAAGGGGTCGTTCTGCTTGCTTGAACTTTGCTGGCTCTGTTTGGAAGTTGCCCATCCCTGCTTCCGCCGACGCTAAGGATATTCAGAGAGCGGCGGCAGAGGCCGCCGAGGCTTTCGGCCGGCCATCTGAGTCAGAAGCAGATTCAGGAGAATCTGCTGGCACTACTCCTGAAACGCCAGAAAGTAGTAAGTTTTTTATGGATGAGGAAGCTCTGTTTTGCATGCCGGGATTGCTAGCGAGTATGGCGGAAGGACTAATGCTGCCTCCACCTCACTACGTAGAAGTTGGTGATTATGTGGAAGCTGCTGCTGATATGCCTCTATGGAGTTATACTATTTAAATACTTCTGGTTATTGCCTCTTTCGAATAACCTATATCACAATAAGTATATATAGTGAATACGCAATCAGAATGCTGGAGGTGAAGTTCCTTCAATTAGGATTTAGGAGATATATACGGTAGTTTCATACTCAATATTTGGATGGTACGAATATACAATACTAGCATTATATAATTTAGTATAACGATCTAGATAGTAATTAAGTAGTACTCTTATGCTCTACTAGCATCCGAAAGTGTTTTGTGCTAAATGCAGGACATTGATGTTAGTTACCGTACGTCACCAATTTTGTGATAACTTGTCAACTGGATGACTTAGTTAGGCAAGTGAGAGAAAAAAAAGTTATTTTCAAGCCATTGTATTTTGAATGAAATAAGTGGCCAAGTAATTAATGGACCTATTTCATCTGTCTTTGAGTATTCAATATTTTTCGCCTTCTAAGATTACTATATAAACTTGGACTAATATTAAAAAGATAAGTAACTATTATTTTGCCACTTTTGATATTTATAAAAAGTCACTTCTAAGTACTTTTTCTTTGTAGCCTTTAGTATCTAAATTTAATTTTGTAACCCAATCTTAAGCCAAAATAATGATGCGAGCAGATGAATTTTAACTACTTACAGTGTGAATTACTGGAAGCCATTCTCCTCCTTGTAATTAACTAGAAGTTCACTAAAGTACAAAGCGTCTCCTAACGTCATCTATGGCCGATGGTTTTACAACCACAGAATATTGTCGTTGATGGGACCTTCATAGTACATACCAGACTAAAATATACATGGACGACAACCAAAGAGCCCTACTAAATCCAAATAGCATGGCATGGAATGACCCCTCACTTACGAGGATTTGAAATCGTTTGATAATGATGTACAGCAAATAATAGCATATTCACAATAACATATTTGGAAATTTACTATCAAATGATAAAATTTCACGAAAACAAAGCATCCTCAGGCTGCAATTGTGTAGTCAAAGAATATTAAACATGATTCTCAGAACACCATGAAGCATATGGAAACACACGTCATAAATTATTCACCTCAAGGAGCTTTAAATGACTTGATCTTGTGCTCTAGCTCAAGTAAAGTTCACGCCACATAAGCACAAAAAGCAACAACAGAATTTCAAATGCTATTACAAAGCTACTGGAGAAGAATTTCAAAATCAAACAGTGAATCCAACCTAGACTTACTGAAGTTGGAAATAGAGAAACTCGTGTGGGTAGGCATCTCCTAGAAATGTACACAGCGAGAAAAAAAAAAGGCAGCCTGCTGACAACTAACAAAGACCTGACAAACAAATAATTTCATACATAATTAGTATTAAGAAGCACATGATTGTTCAATCTACTTTGCTTTCTTGATGAGAGTTGTTGTCCTGAATTCACTGTCATCCCGCACAAAGCTCCACCACAAGCAGGTCAGAGGGATGGTGGTGGCATGCCAGAGAGCATGGGCATCCACAAATCCCCTATAGGGAGGAAAGTCATATAACTCAAGTAGTGTAGCGAGACCTCCACCAATCACCACAACCCATAGTTTCCAGCGTGACGGATGGCAAGTAACCCCTGCCCAGACAGCCCATAAGATAAGCTGCAGCATGCCCATAGACATGCAGACTTTCATGTTCCACCCTGCAATGTGATCAAGCAACATCAGTTTTCCTACTCTGCGATACTTCATACATTCATGAAATCTAAAGAGCCACTACAATCATGCATCGTTATTATTTCAAAGTGACACAAGGCAAGTATTTGCAACTAAAATTGGAAAGTCAGAAGATATTATGCCTCAACTTAATAATAGCATCTGTGATATATCTTCTTCTCCTCAGTTGATAAACAAATTGCTTCAATAGTCTCTGCATTTTCTCATCATTATTTTATTTTTGTCGTGTTACTTATTTTCCCGCCAAACTTTCCATCGTAAAAAACAATTGCACGGGCATCTTAAATTATAAGGACCTAAAGTCTTTTAATTCTAAAGGTAAAGTACATAAACTCATACCTAGACAGATTTAAGGTCACAGAACGTAACAGGTTTATGGTAATTAGTTCATTTATTAAGTTTAGTGTTACATATGGAGTAGTTAATATTTTTGTTATTAGGATATTAATTCCCATAATTATATGAACAGAAAATAGAGCCAACATGGTTCAAATATGTGATGCTACTGATCATTGAGAAACTAACCACAGTTAAAGATAGAGAGAGAGAGAGAGAGATAAAATAGAGGACATTTAGGAAACTAAAAGTGTTGATGTTACTAAAGTAAATTTGTTTACGCTGCAAAATCATCCAAAAATTTGCTGTTTCATTTTCAGTTAGCAGGAGATTGTGCAAGGCCACTTTATCACGATCATACATTATTCTTTAGAAGTGGTGATGAAAATGACATACCATAGTCAAGCTGGTAACAGTTCAGATACAAGATGTGGGTTGTCACAAATGCGAGAATGGGAGCAGCAGCCATTACCCTTGCAGCCTCGTCTCTCACATTGAAGACTCGTAATACAGCCAGGATCAGAGAAAACCCCAATAATGCAACGGCAGACGAATAGTCTAGCTTCTCAGTCAAGTCTACGTCTCTAAAGAGAGTTACAAAACATCAGAAGATAAAACATGGAAATTCGTAAATGAGAAACCGTAAGCTATTTGAGAAAATAAAAGAAGAGAAAAAAATGTGCCTGACTAGATAATTTGATGAATATAAGGTACATCTATTTACAAGTGTCTAACAGAATATATATGGGTAGCAACTAACTTAAGAACTTAAACTTCTAATATCTTAACACCCACTTTCTCACGGCCCCCTGAAATTTAATTGGAAAAACCAACTTTACTTATTTTGACAACACATAAGAGCAAACAAGCCTTGGAATAGCAAAAAGTCACCAAAAACTCACTTGAATAGAATCAGAATCACTCAGAGAAAAAAAGGAGTCACTAATATAGTGCCACAGAGATCCTGTATGAAAATCATTGGAAAGCATAACTGCTGGGATCTTACAGCAAAGTTCAGGTCGCGGGGACCGTCACTGGATTAAATGCCAAAATACTAGCCAGAAAGAACAGGTGTCATTGCAATGTTCATTAGAAAGAGGGGTGATGCTGCCAAGATAGACACCTGAAATAGTTGCAGTGCCGTTGCAACGGTCACCGAAGAAGAAGCGTGGTGCCGCTGAAACAGTAACCAGAAATTTCGATGTGATGTTGCTAGAACAAATATCAGAAAGACATAAGAATAAATGAACTTGAAAAGAGAGCAAAATGTTTTGCTTCGGTCAGCAGGTGGCATGAGGCTGTCATGTACAAAGCACAACAACAACAACAACAACAACAACAACAACAGACCCAGTGTAATCCCATCTGGGGCTATAAGTCACAGACCCATGTACAAAGCACAAATTACTTAAATCTCAGTAAGATCATAGAAACTTCAGTACCATGTGGAAGTAAGCGGAGATGTATCTGTGACTTATAGCCTCTTTGGCCAAGTTTCTTTTTGGCCAAAAGTGTTTTTTTGGCCAAAAGTCCTTTTTCTTAAGTTAAGGTGTTTGGCCAAGCTATTAGAATGGGAAAAAAGTGCATTTGAGTAGAAGCAGAAGTGGTTTTTGAGAAGCAGAAAAAAGTAGTTTCTCCCCAAAAGGACTTTCGAGAAAAATACACTTAAAAGTACTTTTTGAAAGCTTGGACAAACACTAATAGCCTGTTCGGCCAAGCTTCTCTAAAGCCAAAAGCACTTCTTTTTTTGAAAAAAAAAATATTTTTTTTTCAAAGTTAAAGTGTTTGACCAAGCTTTTAGAAGAAAAAAAAGTGCTTTGAGTAGAACCAGAAGCACTTTTGGAGAAGCAGAATAAAGTAACTTCTCCCCAGAAGCACTTTTTTAAAAAGCACTTTTGAGAAAAATACACTTAAAAATACTTTTTAAAAACTTGGTCAAACACTAATTGATGTTCAGAAGTGTTTTTCAAATTAATTAGCCAAACACAAACTGCTTCTCCAAAGTACTTTTGAGAAAAGTACTTTCTGAGGAAAAGCACTTTCTCAAAATAAGCTGATTTTAGAAGATTGGCCAAACAGGTATAATTACCGCTTAAAAGTGTTTTTTCAATTAATTAGCTAAATACAAATTGCTTTTCACCAAAGGCAATTTTGTGAAAGCACTTGTGAGAAAAGCACTTTTCAAAATAAGCTGAGTTTAGAAGGTTGGTCAAACGGGCTATTAATAATTAGATGGATACAAGAGCAATTATTGATAGGTGTCAAACATAATACACATAATATACCCACAAGAAATAGTTTTATAATAATCTGACATGGTTTACCATAAATAGAAGCTAATCTAATTTTCAGCACAATTACAGAAGTAGTGGTCTCAAACAACACCCAGAATTAAACAGTTAGAGATTCGCAAATAACTAGTTTAACATACACCAAACAGTGTTGTCCACTATGCCCTAAACAATTCCACTTATAAGGAGAATCTAGAGAAACATAATTGTCCTCCTCACTCCTCAGACACCAACATAATAATTTGCAGCCGTGGTGCTCATATGATCTCTGTGGCACAAACGCACAGAAAATTGAGAAATTGACAAACTCAATATAGAAGGTTATGTTGTCTTGCATTTGAAAGTTCTGCACATATATATGCATCCCAGGACGTATATGACAAATCCAAAATGTTAGCACAATTATCCATGACCATGGCAGAAAAAGAATCATATATTGATGAGAAGCCAACAACCAAGAAGGAGAAACTATATATATTCAGAAGACAGTTTCAAGCTACTTGAAAGAAAGAACTATAAAAAGAGAAGTAAATAATCTCTCACCTACTATGGAAAACAGCACTCCAAAACCAGGAGTTCAGTGAAAAAATAGCATATATATGCCACAGGCCAGTATACTCATAATATGGCTTTTTGTTTGGCCTAAAGGGCAGCTTGTAATTCACCAAAATGAAAAAGGATACCCATCCATGAAATTGTACAGCAAGGTTAAGAGCCGAAAGAGCTACAGAAACAGGTTCCTGGAATGAAAGACTTTGTTTAGGATACTAACCATTACAGCCTAAATTAGCCTGCTTAAGAAGGAGGAAATGCTTAGTGGTGTGAAGAACCTGGATTCCATTGACACGCTGAAAAGGCCATTTTCCATGATATTTGACAGGCTTAAGACCAAGTTTCTTCCGCTCTTCCTCTCTGGAAAGCATGCAGTGGTAACGACAATCACTAAGGCAGTCCCATTGCTTCCATCTCAGATAAAGTGGTTCCTGCAGATACCATGGACCATCAATGGGACTCCCACCAGAAGTGAAATTACAGTTTTGAGAGCATTTATCCCCCACGCATCCAGTCTTCTCACACTGATCAACACAAGCTCTGTAAAACCAGCAATTTCAAATATAAAAGGGCATGAAGTGAACATAACATCAAAAAACTTGTTGCAGATTAACAATAGATATTCGAATTTCTTCTGGGATTCAGCCCGTAAAACCATGCACATTAGTGAAACCCAGGTGCTGCCTAAGACCCCAGAAGGTAGACTTGGACATGGAAAAGCAGGCTAGAGGATTAAGGTTTCTAAAAGAGTATAACATGCATTACTTTCATGTATTCCCTGTTCCCTGTTGGAAAGTTTGAGGAACAATATGATTCAGAAATTAGAGATAATATGGTTACAGGTATATATGACTCGAGAGTATATATAGTCCTTTATTGTGTTCCACATCCAAAAAGAGTCTACCAGATCCGACCTCACTTGTCTGTTAAAGCATATGTGGAGTTTCGGTTCTTCATGATTTTGGATCATAAATGAGCTTTGCAGCATCTATGGCTTCCTTCACTTTAATTTGGCCCCACTTTGGAAGTATGTCACAATTGGTAAACTTACATTGAACCAAAGAACTTAGAAATAGAGAGAGCAATGATTTGCATCAAGTTAGGTTTGAGTACAGAAGCAAGAAGCCGCAGTTGTCAGGATTACATAGGCATCTGACCGATGAACGTTATCATATTAAAGTTGTCTTCAATCCAACAAAAATTTTAAAGAAATTAGAATGCAATATCTACTTCAAGTTTACTCTAGACTTTTGGACAATTCTCGATACCAGATAATACCTCTTTTTTCATGCGAGGATGGAGGATGGGCACTTGAAGGAGCATTAACTAGGTATCCTCAGTGGAGCTTTCATTAGGAGTGAAGATCACCAACCATAATCCCGGAGGACATAATAATGCCTCCTGTAATTAATAAATACGGGCAGACTAAAGCAGCTCATGGACATCAATTTTCTCTATAATTTTTTTTCTTGCAATTCCGTTATATAAATACATCATCCATCAAATAAGAACTGTGATAAAATGCAGCTACAGGACTCCCTAAATTTATTAATCAAGCCAAACAGATGAGAAAAACGAAATACAGATCTTCACAAAAGTTGAACTGACTAAAAAGAGAATTTTTTATGCAAATTCTCAGATGCTTGGTTGTCTAATTTTGCTTCATAAAAAATTAAATTAGCAAAGGTAAAGTGAACACCATCATTAAAGCTATCAGGTAACTCTATTCACCAACACTTAAGCAGATCGAAGGAAATCTAAGTCCATTCATTTGAAGGAGGAACATGAAACTTGCACGGTACGACCAAGAATAGGTAGCTTCATGCCACTGGATAGAGCTAAATTTCTACTCTCTTACAAATTACTAGCTTTTAACCTCAATAGACAACAGAATATGCCTCTTCATCTTGCATTTTGTATGTCCAAGCTCACACTAAATCAAGTAAATTATGACCTTCACCTCTACTTGACAAAGGCTCATCAGTTGATTCCACTTTCCAGAAATCAAATTGAAAATATCAGAAAATATACGAAAGACCAAGGCAACTACTAGCATTCAATTCCTTCCGTTTATTCTAGCTGTAAATCAAGCAATGTTACCGCGAATTAACTAGAACTGAAAATGAACCGGATATAGAAATTACATACTTAAATTAATAAGAGCAGGTAAAAATAGTAAATATGAGTAAAGCTGAGCTTACCTGTAAACCGGATCGGCATCGCCGGCACTGGCATGGAGGAGTCCGAAAATGGAGAAAACCGCAGCAAGGAACAGAAGCAAACGACATCGTGCCATCAGATTCGCGATAGAGAAGGGAGCGGGAACTAAAATTCAAAGTCACGAAGAATTGCTACGGATGAAAGTGAAACTTTGCGTACTGAGTTGACTGATTAACTTCCATCAATATCGCACTGTCTTTAAAAGAGATTGACACAATGATGAACCCATGAACTGATTTGATTTGACTGTAAGAGAGCGAGAAATTTATTTGAGGGCTATTGGGAAGATGAGTGGGGTGAGCTGAAAGGCTGCGACCGGTGGTGTTGACGAATCTCGTGAGTAGAGCACCCCGAGATGGCGTTTCACGATAAGACACGTGGAACATCTCCAGTACTTTACGTTTTTACCCTTCATCCTTTTAATTAATTCTACAGACCCCTTCCTGACCTTCTCTTGATATCTTGACGATGGAACTGGATTTGGTTAGAGGTGTTCAAAATCGAACCGAAACCGAAGCTTAATGGCTTATTGATATCGGGTTAACGGTTTAACGAACGGGGAACGGATTGAATTTTTTTTATTAACGGCTTATTGGTTTGGGGGCGGATTATTTAATTTTCTTAACGGATAATCCGTTAACCCGTTAAAAATATATATATATATATATATATATATTAAATAATCAAAAACCCTTCTTTTTCCGGTAATCTATCAAAGTGAATTAGAATAAAAGAAAGCCAAATAAAAGGAGTCATCTAACTGTGACAAAAGACAAAATTTGTTGTCTGAAACAAGATAACAACACCAGTTACACCACTGCTTCATCAACTTTGCTTGGGTTCTAAGGCATCCTAGAATTCTAAGCATGATGAACATTGTTTTAACAACGGCCAATTGAAAATCTTTCATATGGACTAAGATGTGCATAAACATAAATAAGATTCTAGACAGATGATTTACCCATCACGGTATCTCTTTTGCTTCGTCCCTCTTAGTACGTCGACCACCTATTTAAACATACAGAGACTAAATTTTATTTTATTTTGATTGAATTAGGCCGATAAATCGCCCGATAATAGCTAAATCGATACCAATTCGCCCGATATCTTATCGGGTGGCTAGCGGATTAATACATTTAAAAGCCGATAACCGATAAGCCAAACCGTTAAGAGTAAATAACCGTCCAATCCGCCCGATAAGCAGCCCTAGATTTGGTGATTTCAGCTATATATATATTCCACCATCACCCCCTTAAATAGTTAGTATAAGTACGCAACCTTTCAAAATTATGTCTAGTATACACTACTTTGGTCAGATGGTGAAGAAATTGAAAGATTTTGAAATTCAATCCTTGATTGGAATATTTTATTATGTCCCTAGTCTATACAGAATACCCCTTTCTTATACAAAATTTCCTATGTATTGTGCATATACGTGTTCTTCTGCCATTTGCACTATTGTAACACAATTTGTCCTATGTGTACTATGTATAAGAAATATATATAAATGTAAAAGGCAGCTAATTACAGATAATAAAGTTCTAGACTATTCCATATCTATCCGTTGCCACACCAGCTGGAATGTAATTGCAATTGTGAGTGTAATATGGATGGTCTGATTGGATGGCACGTGGCATGATCGGGAGTGAGCGCATAATGGTCCTTTGACTTGACCATAGGAGATGTTAATTCAGACATAACTAGGTTACTTTGTGTACTTTCATTCTTAGGCAAAATTCCCTTTCTCATTGCTTCTTCTCTCATCGATGGACAAGGAAGGATAAATCTTCCGATTATCATCTTCAACCTTTTCTCGATCAACTTCGTCGTCAACATCCCCCTCAAGTTGGAGGGTGTTGATACACACCCAACTTTCCGAGCAAATTATGATGCTTTGGGCCTGTTAGCGATTTAGTGAACAGATCAGCTAGTTGGTGCTTAGATCGGACAAAGGATAATGAAACTAAACCAGCAAGGAACTGTTGTCTCACCAAATGGCAATCAATTTCCACATGTTTTGTTCTTTCGTGGAAGACCGGGTTCTTTGCGATGTGGATTGCGTCATGGCTATCTGAATGAAGGGGAACTGGAAGTTCTATTGGTGTTGAAAGATCATTGAAAAGGAGAACTAGCCAGGTGAGTTCTGCAACTACCCATCTCATAGACCTATATTCTGCCTCGACAGAACTGAGAGAAATTGACATTTGTTTTTTTGATTTCTAGAAAATTGGTGAGGATCCGAGGGAGATATAGAAGCCACTTACTGATTTCCTTGAATCTGGGAAAGAAGCCCATTCGGAGTGACAGAAAGCTTGAAGCTTGAACGATGATGACGCTGACAGAAAGAGCCCAAGACCTGGATCTCTAAAGAGATAGCGAAGGACTCGTAGAGCAGCTTCTAGGTGTGGCTGGCGAGGATCTTGCATATATTGACTCAGGTGTTGTATAGTGAATGAAAGATCCGGTCGCGTATGAGTTAGGTAGTTCAATTTGCCGATCAAGTGTCGATATAATGTTGGATCTAGAATGATATCACCAGTGTTGGCAATAAGTTTCTGGGTTGGATCTAAAGGTGAAGACACGGGCGGCTTATCTAGACAATTGAACTTTTTGAGCAAATCCAAAGTGAACTTTTGTTGAGTCAAGATTAAACCAGATGATTCCGGGACAACTTCCATTCCCAAAAAATAATGTAAGTTTCCAAGATCCTTAATTTTGAATTCTTGATCAAGGAAAGCTTTCAGTGCATTTAGTTCCCCTTGGTCGTTCCCAGTTAGCACAATGTCGTCTACATAAACTGCTAAAATGGAAATTGAAGTTCCCTTTCTCTTGAAAAATAAGGAATAGTCATTTAGGGAATGTGAATAACCATTGAAATTTAGTGCACCTATGAGTTTTGAATACCACTGTCGTGAAGCTTGTCGAAATCCATAGAGTGACTTGTTTAACTTGCAGACATGTTTGGGAGTTGGGGCAGTCATACCAGCCGGAAACTTCATATAGACTTCTTCATTTAAATCTCCATGTAGAAAAGCGTTATTAACGTCTAATTGATATATCCCCCGTCCTCTTGACTGTAGTATCCAATAGACATCTAATTGTGGTCATTTTGACCACAGGTGAAAATGTGTTTACCGTGAAAATGGTAATAACAATTAAATTTGTTAATGGGACTCTAAAAATACGTGATCTATTTTTATGCTAGTTGTTAAGCAGATGATGCTATGTGTATGAAGTTTAGAGACGAAACGGGAGCTAAAGATAAGGCGATAATCAAACCGAGAGGCTGACAATCGGGGCCTCAAGCTTGTCGATACGGAGGCCTCGAGGTCGGTTCCGTGGCCCGATAATGAACTATTGGGGTCGATCGGGGTGTAACTAATAGTTATAATAAAATCGAAGAAGGCTCTTTATGGCCAATGATAAGCAATAAATGATGAACAAGTATGAAGATAATAAATGAAAGCAATAATGACAAGAAAGTATGTTAGAGAGCAGAGAGAATGCTCTTTTTTGTATATTCGTATGGAGCAGCTGGAGCAACAGACCTTACAAAATGACAAGGACTCCCTTTATATAGGAGGGAAATCCCCGCATAGTATAAAATACATTAATTACATAGATATGGGGATGGGACGACTGATTGACGCCCTGATTTGGGTTCAGAGTAGCCCGCTAGGCTGTGTCAGTCCTAGCTGCGTGTCTTGGGAACTCCCGTATCCCCCATTACCGTGATCATTACTGCCCTGGGGTCGAGCGTTGTCGACCCTCGAGAAGAGATACTCGGCCGCGGACTCGAGCCTTCGAGGTGGTTCTGCGGCCTCGAGCCTTCGAGGTGATCTTCCGAGTGCCTCAGTGACGAGAAATTGGACTCTTTGATTTCACCGTATACAGATAGTCCCCGCGTTTCTTAGAGATGAGTGATAAGAAACGATTTTGACATCCCACTCTTCGGACTTACCGTGATGATGTCATACTGAAGGTGTAAGCCTTTGTGATAACCGGAACGTCCCGTCAGTCCACTTTTCCAGAGTTATTCACTGCACCGCCAACCTTTATTCTTCTACAGCGATTGCATGGGCGCCAGGTGACGTTCCCGATCTGCTGGATTGGGTTCGGAAGTTGGCAACCCACTCGACTTGTGACGAGCGTAGGTGGCAAGCTGTGTCCCGGGGCAGATGGGAAGTAAAACATCATGGTGAGTGTTATGCTATTTTTTCCTTTCCCTTCCTTCATTTGGTGAGGTAATTTCCCTCTCTGCGTGTTAGTCTTGTTGTTTGTAGGAATTGGAGAGCCTTTCGAGGCGAGGCCGCGCTCCTTTGAGGAGGGGGAAGGGTTGCTAGCCTCCGGGCTAAAGAACGACAACAATAAGCGGGAGATGCCTTTACAAGGTGATGGCGCTCAAAGCAAGGCGAGGCTGGACCCGTGTTCCGGAGCGGAAGCATCATCTGAGCCTGCCGTGCCCGTGGTTCCCGGTTCTGAAAAGGTGGTTTCTCCATTGCCACTGCCTTCTCATTCCATTGATAGTGCTTCGGGGGATATTAGAAACTCGGGGTCGCCTACTCCGAGAGACCGTGTCTCGATCGGAGTCAATTATTTTAGAGCTGAGGGAGCTAGGTTAACGTATGCACGTTCGGCCTTCGAGGAAGCCCGACGGCTTCACTTTTAGGCCTTTCGAATTTCGCGCCTTGCCTTTCTTATTGGGTTTTCTTTTGCAGGCCTTCGACAGGATTAAGTCCGGGCTGCTTCATCGTGAAGCCCAGCTGCGGAAAGCTTTGGATGAAGAGAGATCCCTTAGGTTCCTTTGCGATGAAAAGGAAGCCAAGCTGGAACACTTGCGGTATGAGGAGAGTCGGAGCTTGAATTACGAGAGCTTCTTGGAGGAGCAGGTAACTTTCCGCTCCGGGTGAGTATGCGCCCCGCCTCCTGGCTTCTAAGGCTAATACTTCTTTTATTTCAGTTGCAGAAAAGGACGGAGGCCCTGGAGCGTCTTCGGGATGAAGCCGGCCGAGCCAAGAGTGACATGAGGTCCAGGCTTTAGAGGAGAGGGATGCCCTGGCTAAAGTTCCAGACCTCGAGGTCCAACTCCGCTTAGCCTGTGACAATGCTTCAGCTCCAGCGAACGCGATTGCGAAGCTCGAATCCGAGCTTTCGAAGGTAAGGGCCGAGATCATTGATGCCCGAGCTGAAGCTGTAATGAGCTGAACTAAGGCTGACCAGGAGATGGCGATCCACTTAAAGGATGCTACTGATGCTCAAGCTGAGTTGAGAAAGATCCTCGATCGTGAAGAGAGGATTAAAGAATATGCTCGTTGCAAGTCTCGAAGGAAGACTCTCGAGGAGATATGTGCTAGGGGATTTGTTCTCTCGAAAGAGTTAGCGCGAGCGAGGGCGGACGAGCGTGATGCTCGGTTACTTCTGTCTGACGTTGGAGAAAGCGAAGATGAGGCCGACAGGTCATAGCTCCCGGGGGGAGCGTGGATTTTTGCCATCTGTATGTAGTATTCAAAGTATGTTTGTAGATGGAGATTGCATTTTTCGTATATGTGTATAAGGAAACCCTTGCGGCTTTATTTCTTCCGTATCTCTTTCTGTCTTGAATTTGGTAGGAATCTTTAGATTCGCGATATGGCCCCGGGGCTCATTAGGCTGGCGATAATGGCTCTTATGCCTCAGGTCGAAGTGACCTTTCAGTGTAAGCTGGCGTTTGAGCTCTTATGCTTTTTGCCTTGGGGCATTTTTTAGGTAACTTTTTTGGGTTCAGTCTCCGAATCGGGTTGTGATTCAAGCTCATTCGACCCTCAAGTTTTCAAATTTGCATGGGTTGGCGACAATGGCTCTTACGCCTTGGGTCGATGTGACCTTTTATGTGTAAGCTGGCATTTGAGCCCTTATGCTTTTTGCCCTGGTGCATTTTCAGGTAACTATTTTGGGTTCAGTCTCCGAATCAGGTTGCGATTCGAGCTCATTCGACCCTCAAGTTTTCAGATTTGTGTGGGCTGGCGACAATGGCTCTTACGCCTTGGGTCGAAGCGACCTTTCATGTGGGCTTTATTTCTCCCTCGTTAAGGACNTTTTGCTTGCACAATTTGTGAACTGATAACAAATTGAATCTGAAGGCTGGGACATATAAGACATTATGAAGAGTAAGGTTAGGAAAGATTGTAACTGATCCTCAATGAGTTACTTTAACCTTAGATGAATTAGGCAGGTTTACATTCAAAGGTTTAGGTAGAAGATTCATGTTAAAGAGACAAGTTTCATCAAAAGTCATATGTTCAGATGCACCACTATCTAATATCCATGTTTGATTGTTTTTATGTGCAAAACAGGTTGTACAATTGTGTGAAAAATATATACCAGCTAGGTTCACATCTGCATTGTTCTCAGAGCTTGCTTTCCCATCTGCACCTGCTGTTGAAGCTGCAAAATCTAGGTGATGTTCTCATGAGTGAGACCCTTAATGCCTGAGCTTTGTTCTGCATTGTCCTTTGAAACAAGTGCATTGTTACCCTGAATAGATCCTTGATATTTCTTCTGATTAGTGAACTTAAAATCTGGAGGAAATCCAACAAGTCTATAACATTCTCCTATCACATGACCTGGTTTCTTACAGTAAGAGCAAAATGAGTTATTCTTCTTTCCTTCATAACCAGATTTCTTTCCCTTAAAGTCTCTGAAATTGCTTTCTTTCCAATAGAACCTTGTTGTGCAACAATGAAAGAAGCTGAATCTCCTGGATAGATTGGAGCACGATGAATCTCTCTTTGCTTTTCATCTTGGATGACCATGGAGTATGCTTGCCCAATAGTGGGTAAAGGAGAAGACATCAGAATATTGCTTCTCACCCCTATGTAGGTGTCATTGAGTCCCATTAAAAACTACAGCAACCTCTGGTCTTGGTGAGTCTTCAAATTCTTTCCTTTAGCTCCACACACGCACTCATATGAACATGTGGAAAAATTTATTAGAGTATCTAACTCATCCCACAAGCTTTTCATTTTCGTAAAGTAGCTAGATACACTAGAGTTTCCTTGAACTACAACACTTAGTTCTTTTTGAAGTTGAAATAGTTTAGCACCATTTGTTTGACCAAATCTGTCTTCCAAATCATTCTATAGGTCTTTTGCACTATGAGAGTAAAGCACACTCTCTGCAATCTCCTTTGACAGAGAGTTAAGCAACCAAGACAGGACCATGTCAATTCCCCTTGACTAAGCACTTTGAAGCCCAGAACTTTCATCTGGAATGGAGAGGGTTCCATCAATAAAACCCAATTTGTTCTTTTCAGAAAGAGCTATCACAATAGCTCTCCGCCAAGCACTATAGCTTTTGCCATCAAAAGCTGAAGAAACCAGGTTCATTCCTAGATAGTCTGAGGGGTGAAGAAAAAATGGGTGTGATGAATCAATCATCACTTTCTTGGATGAATCAACCACAAGGGTATTAACATCAGATGTCTCCACCATTTTGGAAAGAAGAAGGCAGAATGAAAAAGTGAAAGAAAATTTTCAAAATATGCTTAAATGACCTGCTCTTGATACCATGAAGAAATTGAAAGAATTTGAAATCCATTCCTTGATTGGAATATTGTATTATGTCCCTAGTCTATACAAAATACCCATTTCTTATACAAAATTTCCTATGTGCTGTGCATATACGTGTTCTTCGATCATTTGCACTATTGTAGGAGAATTTGTCCTATGTGTACTATGTACAAGAAATATATACAAATGTAAAAGACAGCTAACTACAGATAAAATTTCTAGACTATTCCATATCTATCCGTTGCCACACTAACTGTAATGTAATTGCAATTGTAAGTGTAATATGGATGGTCTGATTGGATGGCACGTGGCATGATCAGGAGTGAGGGAATAATGGTCCTTTGACTTGACCATAGGAGATGTTAATTCAGACATAACTAGATTACTTTGTGTACTTTCATTCTTAGCCAAAATTCCCTTCTCATTGCTTCTTCTCTCATCGATGGACAAGG